TGTTTGACACGCTCATTGCGGATGACGAGTAATCTCGTCACCGCTGGCCTTTTCCAGTGGCGCGTGACGAGTATACTCGTCAAAGCGCCATTTACAAACTATTGTTCCAGTGTGAGGTTAGCAACTGCCGTGAGACGTTGTTTCGTTGTTTCGCTTGCCGCTTGTCCCAGTTTTATACTTAAACCTGGTATGATTCGTTTTCAGATCAGACTATTTTATCGGTGGTAGAGATTATAAAAAAATATTGTGGTACGGGGCTTAGGCTTGGATCTAATGACATGCAATAGAATAAGGATAATGAATGTACTGTAGCATTGTGGAAGAAACCTAACCTCAAAACTTTGTACTTGACCGCTTTTATGCGGTATTTTTTGACGGTGTATCGGGTAATTCACCCCTGCTTTTTCCCTCCATTTGGTAATACTGAGGACCAACTAGCAGTACTTATTGTTTAGTGCTGCTATCTGTTGGGCTCTTGTAAAACTTCGTCCTGGTACACAGTAAGATGTTTCTTTAGATGAAACCAAATTTAAACGTTTTCGCGCAGCTATCCACGCAGCGCATTCGCTGTTCGCGCCATGGGCAGTAGGCAGTGGCCCGCCATCGCGCTGCCGCATTAAACGTGTTAAACACCTTTCTACACAAATACCCCCGCCGCAGCAAACCTGCCGACTAAGCGAATTTCCATTTGTCTGAATTGATTTTCAGTTAAATATATTTTAATAACATTAGGTTTAACGAGTACCTAGGTTTGCTGCTACAAGGAAACTAATAAAGTGTGTTTTTTAGTCAAATATTAATAGCTTAGTATAAAATAAATAAATTTGCCTAGTTTGATCAAAATATATCCATATACAAGCAAACTACAACATTAGTCAATATTCTCCATAAGAATAACATGGGAATTTTAAATTTACAATTTTTTTAATTTTCTCGGTTACTAATAATCGAACAAAAATACTTTTATATACTTTATTATTTGTTTTTTTAAGCTCTTTAAAAAGGTCTAAAGAGAAATTGGGAAATTTTGTGTTTTGAGGGTCAAAAGTGAGAAAAACCAATTTTTACCCCATAAAACCCCCCGTAAAGCCCCGTTCCCATGGTCCGACCGTGCTGGTTCGCGAACTCATTCAAGTTTATCCCGCTTTACACCTTTAAACTAAATTTCATCAAAATCGGACAAAAATTACTCAAGTTATCGCGTTCACGGACGTATATATATATATAAATCTTTATATATATATATATATATATATACATATATAAAAATTTGAATGAATGGTGTTTTTGGCCTCTGGGGACATCAAAATGAAAAAGTAAATCGGTCCCGAGTCTAGGTCTTACCGTGCCACCTACGGTAATGGTAATAGCTACTTCCCTAGAGGGAAATTCGCTAAAACCAGTTATTTTCCAGGATTCAACGACCTAATGAACAAAACTGATACAATTCTTTCGATAAGATAGCTGTTTTTAATAAATTGTATAACCATCTTAAGTACTAGTTATGACAACTAAAACTATTTAAAAGTTAGCTTTAAATGCATTGAGGAACCATGTTATGAGTTACATTGACCGTAATTTTAAGTCCACAATTGTATTCATATTGTCCGTAAGTTGTAAAAATATTCACAGTTCAAAATCCGTGATATATTTTATGTATAGTTGATAAGGGTGAAAACGATTTTTCCTACAGTCACCCAACAAAGTTGGCTTCCTTGCACTGTTACAGAAAGCTGCTAATTGCTGAATTTACTTACTTTGTCGCACGGTTTATACTTGGTCGTACGATTTATACTTTGGCGCACATCAGGATTCAAACCAAACAACACAAAACAGTGTGGCTTTATTATGCACGTAATCCGTGTACACTTGGAAATCGCTTGGCAACATTTAAAGATAATAATACAGGGCGTTTATAAAAGGATCGTCAGGTTTTAATGGCATGTATCTCACTCAATACTTTTCCCACATTAATATTTTAAACATAGGCTAAAAAAGCATGTTTCCAAGTTTTATAATCAGCTATTCAATAATCAGTCTTGGTATTTTCTTGGACGTGTTTGCATCATTTTCAAAATTATTACGATTCAATAAAAAAACATTGTGACGATAATGACTTGACCCTTCTCAAATGGCCCCCTAGATCTCCTGATCTTACGGTGTGTGGTTTTTTCTATGGGGCTATGTAAATGACAAAGTTTATGTACCGTCAATGCCTCAAACGCTTCAAGGGCTCCGTGGACGAGTTCGCAATGCCGTAGAATCAACCAACCTTGTGATGCTAGCCGGTGTATGGAACAATTTACAGCATAGATTGGAAACTTGCTCCACGGCTAATGGACGGCACATTGAGCACTTGTAGTGGTATCTATGAAAAATTGAAGAGTTCTATTTTCTGTTGATATATTTTATATTCATATTTGTTAATAAAAGGTTTTAAAACCTGATGATTCTTTTATAAATGTACTATGATAACTGTACTAGAGTTATTGTACTATGATAACCTGTACTAATAACTACAGTTGGTTGATTGAATTATTATTGTTCCTTGAATCTTGACTCTTAGTCCATCTTATATCTAAGTGGGAAACTGGAGGGATAAATATTTCAAAAAGTTCCCTCGCTACCTGCAGAACCCGCGTGGCAGTTCAACTGTTTTTGAACCCTGTGAAACTGACCCTTATAATCCGCTCTAATGATCGTGGCGGTTCAAGTATCTCGGGGTGGTCATAAAACTCGTGGCGGTTCAATATTCCCCAAACTCTCTACTGTTTTGTTTTGTTCTTTACGTGGCTTATGACTATACAATACAGTGTTTGGCTAGGTTTTAGGAGGGTTGGATTAAGCTGTCATTTTAAACTTACAGTTTTTAACCTGTACCAAGGTCAATGACTAGAAATGTCATGATTGCACAATATTAAAGATCCCTCCCCTTTATTACCCCAGATAATTGTGGTTCTACTTTACAATGTTAACACTGTACTGTAAAGTATTGTAGCCTTTGCTACGTTGATTGTGTTTTAATGAGGTCAAAGTCCGACCTATATTGACCGACGCTGGTTCTGAACCTCGACTTAGCGAAATTCCTACAAACCTAACCTCAATATAACGAACCTCGTTTTAACGAAATCCTTGATATAGCGAATATTCAGTTCGGTCCCTTCAGATTCGTTATACCGAGGTTGGACTGTATTATTATTTATTATCTTGAGCTGCACATTATTCTTCATCACATCACTTTGTCAAACCATATTCGTTATTGACTTTACAAAATAAATCCTATTTTCTATTTTCTAAACAGACATCAAACTAGGTTTAAATAATTTAGATTCTTAAATTTTTAAGCTACATGAACTACCTATTTTTCTAATAACCAAGCAGTAATAATTTATTTGAAATTGATCAGATTCTTTTTTATTAAATCACAAAATCCCTTAGGTTTACCACAGGTCACCAAATAATAATAATAACCCCCCAGTCCCATAAATATTTTGCTCATTACCCGGCTTTTGATCTTACACAGGCCAAGGCCAGTGTTACTAGTTATGTTCAGTATGCAGTGAATGAAACATTTTATTTGAAAAGAAGTATATCGGTACATTGTACTGGCATCGTTGATGTTTCAGCTACACAATGTTTTACGGCATAAAGTTAGGAACATTTATGACCAAAATGAATTTAAATCTAAGATTAAAACCATTTAAAAAAATGTTTGACGTACTTTATGATTTTAGTGAATTGTCGTTTAGGTTGACTTGACTTACTTGACTTATTTCCTTTCACTCCTGCACAGAGCATAGGGCCTCCACAAAACAACGCTGGCGGACGATTGGGAGCCAAGGCTTTTACTTCCCTCCAGGTCTTCCTTATTTCGTATTCTACTATTCTTCCCTATGTCGTTCTTGGCCTTCCTCTTCTTCTAAGCCTTTGGGGATTCCAACTCAAAGCCCGTTTCTCCACAGAATCTTGGTTTTTAGGGAGAGTATGCCCAATCCAGTGCCACTTTTCGCGTTTCTTGATCTGGACATCTACAGGTTTCTTCGATTGTAAAATTCAACAGTTCTATGTTTGAAATAACTTCGGGCCAATAGATTTTCAACATTTTCTCAAACACCTGTTAATACTCTTGAAGTTTTTGTGAATACTAGTAGATTAGCTTAGTTCTGTTGTAATGTCTTTTCATAAAATTAATTAAATTTAACTTCCTGTAATCCTGTGACCTGACTGATTACATATTTTGATGCTCTTGTGACACCGACACCGTCATCAGATTAGTACAAAAACAAAACCTATTTCTAGAATTGAACTTCCATTCCTAAAATGTGTAAAGCAGCAAAATTGTTTTTTTACAGTTAACAACTTGATTCTTCATTAGTTTCTTCATTTTAACTCATAACCGTTAGATATATGAAAGAACAAGATTTTTTACTATGATGATGCCTAAAAAGGGTTAAAACGCACAATTTCTCGGGAATAGCACATTATCACAAGGCTGCTTTAGATATTGTAACCTTGTTTATTAGATCTTGTAGGTTAAAGCATTGACTTAGATACCGAAGCAGAGATCCCATCCATGCAGACCAGCTGTACCCAATATTGTAATGAAATAGAACTTAGGTGAATGAGCCACTCGCAAAATATACTCATCTAATTTTCTCCCGCAAGGTTTGTTAATGCGACGTGTCATAAAAGATGCTAAAAAGTGATATAGGTCCACAACAAATGATAAGTTGTCCTTTAAGTGTAAAGTAACAATTAGCATATACAACTATGTTCATTTTCAGGCAAAAACTTTCTAAAACTGTGGCAAGTGAATGGAATGTCTGCCTCTATCCAAAGTGAAAATTTTCACTGATCCAGTGATGACAAAAAGCATTGAAACAAATAATCTGTTAAGATTAACACAGGAAATCTAAGTGGAACTATTTACTTGACGGATCTTATAGATTGAAGTATTGTGCTTAGTTGCCATAAACTGTCATGAGTTTAATTTGTTTTAGAAGGTTGTGAGAACGTGCTGGGACTGTCACTGCCTCCGGACGGAGGAGTTCAGCCACTACCTAGCAATGTCATCAACAAACAGCCAGCCACCATGGAGGCGCAGTACATGCAGCAACAAAGTCAGATATTCGTGTTCTCAACAGCGTTGGCCAACAAGTCAGCTGAATCTGTACTCCAAGGCCAGTTCTCCTCCATCATTGCCTACCACTGTGCCCAGCCCCGCACCAAGAAGTTTCTTGAGGTAAGTTTTCTAGACACCTATCTGTCTCTAACTTACACATACAGTTGAGTCCAGCTATTCTGAACTTGATGCTGCAGAATGTCCCCGCAACTGGGGAAGATATTCATGATAATCGCCTCAACTGCAAAATATGGTTTTGTTGTAACTGCAGAACACGTTCATGAGTTTGTCATGACAGAAGATTCCAGTACTCTACACACATTGACATGGACTTGCATAACTTCAGATTACCGAGAGTGTCTGGTAACTGAGTGCCAACTGCACTATAGTTTCTATAGATACGTTAAGCAGTGCAAACGTTGGCCTTGCTAAAAAAATTTTGTTCTTTGTAATATCCACGGTTTTAAAACCTCCATTCCTGTCCACATTGGTCTCAGCCTTGTGTGGGGAATGTATCAAGCTAAGCAAGTAATTATCATTCATATGCGTAGAAGCTATGAAAATTAATTTTAAATGCGCAAAGGTTTATAACTTGAATTTATAGAACTCTAATTTAAAACTGTTCTACATGGTCACCTTAAAAATGTTTTTTCTTCATTCACAGAAACATCCCCTGAAGATGACCCAGTTCAACAGGCAGAATCCGGCGCAGTGGCTGAATAACCTGGCGCAGATGAAGCAGAAGAGTGCGCCGGGAGGTATCAAATGTCAAGGCATGGGTAGAGGCATGAAGAACAATCTCATGATGGACGTAGGCCTTGGAATGGGGAACAGGATGCCTCTCTGGAATCAGGTATGTCTTAGATAGATGTGCAAGTTTTAGTGTCCAATGTTTATTGTTCAGTTGTACTTGGAGAGCTAGCTGGTGTAGTGGTAGACCAAGGAAGCTTTGGTCCCCAAGGTCCCAGGTTTAGGTCCCGCCAATTAATACTGGCTTTAGCTTCCTGAGAAAGCTGTGACTTAAGTTCTAGCATGAAGGAATGTGTATAACAGTACCTAGCATTTGTTAATCAACGATTCTTGTAAGAACCCAAAGTATCAATAACTTCGCAACAGTACTGTCAGTCTCAAACATTTCAAGGAATCTGAAGTTATCTCTCACTGAACAGCTAATTTTATGATGGGTAGCCTCTGGACCATACAGCAACAATAATAATGGTTTAGTTTACCTCTGTCAAAATGGTCCTTGCGTAGTTTGTCACTACTGCAGTTTCGTGCTCGTGGAGCACATCATCAGGTGAAGGTCCCAAAAAGTTAAAACATTTTCCTTACGTGAAGGTCGTCAATTTAACACACCGAAAAACACATACACATACAATGGGTGGTATGTGTATGTGTAACCATTGATCATCATTGTGATTGCCTAAAATGCTAAGCATTATTTTACTAGACATTATTTTATATTCCTGATTTTTCTGTTACCATTCCAAAAGTATCAATGACGTTGTACATCAGTACTGGCAGTCTTAAAGATATCTTGTATTTTATTTCAAAGAATCTGAATTCATCTCGGACTGAATAGTTCTTAGTCATAAAAAAGCATTAATGAAACTTTAAGCTTGTTGTTAACTATTGCTCATCATTGCAATAGTGTAAAATCCAGAGCATATTCTTAAGAAATCATATCCGTCATTATTAAACTATGTATTCCTGCAATAATGATTTGTCTTCAAATGAATACGAAACTTCATTCTCCTACTTATTCCATTGTTTATGGAAATCACATTTTTCGTTGATATTATTACCAGTTAAACTGATGTGATAGTAATTTCACTGATTTTTTAACAATTAATTTAGTTTTTTAATTTTTGAACTCATAAAAAAGCAAGTCAAATTCAATTACAAAAGGTAAGTAGAATAATTATTTCGGAAAAAAAAAAACTAAGTAAATTAACCAAATTGAAGATTAAGTAGCATTAAAAGTCAGTTTTGTGTAATCCTCCAATGCATAAATACAAGCTTATTGTTAAATGAAATGATTTTTCTATCATATAAATCTAGATGGAAGCTCATTAAATATATACTGTATAGGTTTATCATAACATACATTTTCTCCCCAACTCCTCTTTAATTTTAAGTTTAAAATCATTTCTTATGACCATATTTTCCAAGGACTATTCCAGATTTAAATTAGAGGAATATGTTCCTATTCGTACAATCTAGACCAAAAACTTGCATTTATGTCTTACAAATGGACACAGGTCAAAGTTTGTAAGGGGACGTTTTAACTAAGGTTTGTGATTTCTAACACTCCCAAGGTTAATTAAAGATTCACATTATTTATATCTTGTTCATTGTTGGTTTTAAGTTGTCAAACATCATTAATGAGGATATCACATTTCGCCCTCTTAATGATTTAATTTGGTTCTTGTATGTTTTAGTTGAAACTTTAGTCTGGTACCAAGGATCTGGTGATTGCTAATTTAAGGAATAATTCTTTCAAAGGTCAGTTTGATTTTGTATCATTCAAGTGGTAAATAAGCCCCACAGTTGAAACAAATGAAAAATGAATAGCTCCATGAAACTGCCAAATTAATCATTTATTTATGGATAGTTCAGTGTGACTACTAACATTAGATTTAGTTCACCTTCATACTCTAACCATTGAAAACTACTTCCCCACCACTATTTTATGTTCCATTCATTTGCCAAACAGACATTTTAAACTTTGAGTAACTTATTTGTTTTATCATTTTCTATGATTATTGGTTAGCAAACCCTAAAATATTATTCAGAGTATAAATCAGTTGTAAAAAGGAGACAATAGACTACGAATATACATATTTTAATGATGGAAACACCAAATATTTTGACAGTAATTTATTCTAATAACAAAGATTGCCATTATGGTGGTTTTCTAGAGTCATATCTTTTTGTACATCATTATAGTAAAAAGGTGCATTCATTAGTTTACAGGTTGCTTGTTTTGAAGTATTATTTTACTTCCTGCCAAGTTTTCCTCATAATTATCTGGTTCAAGGGATAAGATAAGAGATTTAACATTAGAAAGTTGGTAGAATATTTATCTGAGCATGAGGCAATATTATCTATTCTAACTCTGATCCAAAAAACCAAAAGCTAAATTATGGTTTGTGGTAAACTAACATAAACAATCTAATCATCAATGAAATCAAGTTTAGGATAGGTTATCAAGTCATGTTTCACAAAGGTTTAACTAACAGATTTTGAAATAACATCGACCATAACTAATATAACAAACATTAATGATTAAACCAAATTTACTTCCATAGTTTTTGTGGAAGCCTAAAATTAGTGTTGAAAAAAAGTGGTGTATGGTGAATAATGATGCTGGGTACTTATAGATGTCATGAATAGAGGCAGCTAATTAATAGTTATTTGTGCAACTAGTGAGCAAAGTGAGCAATTGCCTCACTCGAGAGAAATCCTTACTCACGAGCCGTAGGCGTATGAGGAATGGTTTCTCGAGTGAGGCAATTGCACTTTGCACTCGAGTTGCACATTATATTTTTCCTACAGTTACCATAAAACAAATAAATTGGTAAAGAAACGTAACATATTTTTACACAGAAGTGAACTTTTAATATGACATTTAATGATGCAACGATGCAACAGTACAACAGCTGACCACCTGATTTACAGCCAGTGCTGCCAACGTATTTCGCGCGCATACGACCTTGTCTGCACGTTACGCGCTCATTATTTCGTGCCTTCACGTTGCAAATCTGGAGTGAGACAAAGTAATTATAGTGAGACGATGTTAACATTGTCTCACTGATGAGTGAATTGGCCACTTTGCTTTCTCAAATCAGTGAGAGAATATGTACATTGTTAGGTAACTGTAGGAAAAAATAATATTTAGGACAGAAGTGTTTGTATTTTCAAGCATGGGTGCAAGTAGATCAATCTGATTTTTCTTATTATTGGCAACTTATAAACCTGGTTATTATTTAAGGACATTAGTGAAATGTCTAGATTGGTTTGGTATATTGCAAATATATTTATACTTCAAAGTTAAGTAGGACTTGTTTGCCCCGCAATGGTTGATGGGAATTTGGGAGTTGAATAGTTTGTATTTCATACAATTCTCTTTATTTCTAGAATCTAATGTACTTTACACTACTTATACATAGTAGATAATAGAGAAAAACAATTACAATATAATTAAATATGAAACTAAATTAAACTATAACTAAACAATGTTAGGGACACAAAAGCATTTTCAACACCAAATTGGGTAAATATCATCCAGTCCAGATTTGGTGATCTTTTTTTGAAATCTCAATTCAATAAATGAAAACGTATAGTCAGGTAATAAAATGTTTTGAGGTAAATTTTTGCACAGATGCTTACTTATCTACGTGTTGTGTGGAAATACATCAACGATTTTTGTGCTCTTCCTCATTTCATTCTATTAGTAATATCGGTCGCAGATAGGAACTCTTGAATGCATAGGGCCTAACTATTCAGTGGTAGATTTATAATTGAATCCCTCGTTTCTAGTTAAGCATTTAGGGAACCTGTCGATTATGTGATAAGAAAAAATTGTGTTTAGAAAGACTTTTTCTAATTTCAATTGTTTGTTGTAACATTATGACAGTATTATTTCATTGTGTACATCAATAAAAATAACTAATTAACAATTTACGGTTAAGGATGTAATATAGAGCACAAGGGCTTAAAAGTTCACCCATATAGAGTTGAGGGAAAAGAGGGAAGGCTACAGCAATTAAATAACTGGAAAAAATATTAAACTAAGCGATGGACAACATTTTTGATTTTATGAGAATTTATTCCTGGATGTTTCTTACAAATCACTAAATATTCCTTGCATGACTTGGTAGACGCTGCAAAAATATCTTACATAAGACTTGTTTCTTATGAATGGAGAGAGAATTTAGCTTTTCCTTTAAATATATTTCCCTTTGACTAGTAGGCCTACCTGTTGAAAACTATATTAGGCCTATATATTATCTGAGATCTGCCTTTCAAGAATGAAACGTCTTTCCTCTAATGTTTTTGAGCAAATAACTAACTGTACAATATTGATACCAGGGTCCGAACGCTATGAGTGGTGGTGGAGGTGGCAACCTAGGCATGACTCCGCAGATGAAGCCAGAACCTCCCATGCTACCAGGGTCTCCTGGCCCCAACATACTCCAGGGAGGGATGATGCCTTCCCTCAGTGAGTTCACTGACGACTCCATGGCTTTAGGAGCTCATCATTCCTTAGCTGGTAAGCTGTTATAGTTTTCAGAAATGTTTTGTGTAATGGACTTTTTAGAAATCACTGGTTTCTTTTTTTGCACTGAAATGGTACTAGTATGTCATGTAGAATCCAAACAAATTGGTCAAAAAATGTGTTACCTATTTGGATTATTTTGATGTTTAATCCGTGTCTTTGTGAGGCCAAGAAGCAAGTGTGAGCCGGTAACACAACACACTGCAAATCCAAGGCAGCGATGTTGTGGGTTTGTGTCCCATTGTCGCCATTAAACATTATCAGTATATCTAATTCTCGTCCTGCACTGGCTCACCCCGTGCTTTGCTTGATATTCCCACACACAGGGTCGAGGCTAATGTGGACAAGAAAATGCAAGGATGAAGGATCTAACCATTTTTTATTTATTTTTGTTTAACACCAAGAGATTTATTGTAAATCTTTCTCTGAGGGGGGAAATTGTTCTCTTCCATGCTTTTTTTTTGTGTTAAATGTGTGTAGGGCGAAATATACATAAAAGTACAATACAGTAGGCCTACTCATTCGTCCAAACAATTTTCAAATGCATTTAAACATTGACGTTTTTTACTATATGTATCTATTTCAGGAATATACTTAACTTAAGGCGTATTCGATTCATTTTCAAACTGGTCCTAATTGTTTCTTGTCTTTCTATTAAAAAAAATGCAGTGATAGGATGCAGAAACTTATTGAAAACGATTCATGTCTATTACAAATGTTCTAGGTCAAGATATATATGAGTGTAAATATTAGGCCTGCTGTTTGAATCGATCATGTTTTATCTTTGTACAAAAAGAAAAAAGTATGAAAATTCAAAATTGAGTTAAAATTATATATTCTCTATTACATCATTTGTCTAACAACGCCACAACGGAACTACGTAACTATCTCATGATTTTATAGGTGTGAAAGTGCCTGATGAGAACCTGACTCCACAGCAAAGACAGCACAGAGAAGAGCAGTTGGCGACACTAAGGAAGATGCAGCAGATGTTGTTTCCGGAGCATCACTCTCCCAGTAGTGGAGACCCCAGCAACCCTCAACCCTCGGATCTGGACCAGGTGACAGGCTTGACTGATACCCCAGACCTCATGATGAACCATAAAAACCAACCCGTTGTCAGTCAAGCCGACTGGCAGAAGATTCAGATGCAGTTTTATGACGGGAAGAAGAAGAATAATGGTTCGTCGAATCAGCCTAATGCGAATCATAATAACGGATCAAGAGGACAAGGACCTCCCCCTCCTTACCACCAAGTGACTCGGTCTGCTAGTGTGCCTGTCGGGGAAACTCCGGGTTCTCCGGCGAACAATACATCCAACCTCTCCCTCCCGTCCCCTCGTACCTGCAGCCCCACGGAGAACAAGGTCCCTGCCGTAGACTCGCCAGGTCCCCCCCGCTCCAACCCAGGCACCCCTGCCTCTACACACCTGTCACCCAAGAAGGAGAAGCCCAATGGAAACAACAGCGTCGTAGGAGAGTTCTCCCCCACTAGCAATATGTCCGCTCCTACGAGTCAGCAGTCTCCAGGTATGCAACTACTGTTAGTCTTAAAAATTTGTAGAAAGTTGAATTAAAGAAAATTTAATATCCGAAGGAAGGAGTATTAAATAGGATAGACTTTTTTTTACCTCTACAAAAAGTTTTTCAATACATGAATTGCAATGATAAAGTGGTCCTTTAAGCCACCAAAAAGATTCATAAGGGGTTTTAGGGAAAATTTAAAATTGCACCAAAAATAACATTTACTAACAGAACAGTAAAACTTTGGCTAATGGAAAGAAAGGGGACAAGGGCATTTAGGATAACCAATTTTTTTCAGTTAATCAATGGTTAGAATTGTATTTAAAGTTATTTTAACAACTTAAAAGCCTCATTGAACCTATTGCAAATAAATTGAACTCAATGCAAGCTGCAGCAGGGATTCGGCTCAAGTCAAATGCAGGTATAAGATCCATGTTATCGTCTGCTCCAATACATTCTGTTGTTTCCTGTACCATGTCCAGATTATGTGATGTGGAAAATGAAAAGGGACCTCTTGTCGGGAATTTTCGATTTTGAGTTATCCATGTATATATATATATTTTAATTCCTTATTAAATTCCAAATCTCTTGGTGCAAGTACACAACTTTTTTGTTAAAGTTATAGGACTTTGAAATTTTTTTAGGGAAAAGAGTCATTTTGATAAAAAAAAACTATTTAAAAATTTCAAAAACGCATAAAAACAGTTTTTTTTGTATTCAAGAAACGATTTTGGTACCTATAAAAAAAGCTTATAAGGTCCTCTTTGGGGGCAATACCAATTTTTGTCTTAACTCACAGTAGTTTTCATAAATAATTGTTTTATCCAAGCATGTCGAGAAAATCACATTTCAGAAAAGGGACCTCTTGTCGGCCCTATATTAGTTCACCATAACATAAAAAAGGTACCTCTTGTAGGGACTAATTAGTGAGATATTTTGTTCTCCCTAAACTGAACTTTTTTGTAGTTCTCTAAATTTCCGCTAGAATGCAGGACAATTGCTTTTTTGCACTGAAGTTTGTTTTTAAAAAGAATATGAGAAATGGGACCTCTTGTCGTTATGTCGAAATAATATTGATCGATAAGAAGTACCTTTTCTCAGACCATGTACAAAATTATTTATTTCGACCTTTTACATCTTTTTGATGATTTGCCTTTTACATCGATTCAATATTTTAACCGATACTGTCCTGTTCTATGTTAAATAAGGTATAACGATAAAAAAACAAATTTCGATATTTTCGACCTTAATCACCTGTATATTGGCTGTACTGAAAATTTTGCATCGCCGACAAGAGGTCTCTTTTAATTTTCCACATCACATATCATGGTCATATAGCTGAAGCTTGGAGTTGTCTGCTTGAACAAACTATCCACGTCATTGCAAACAATTCCTGTTGTCTAGCTGATTTTTCAATTAACTTAAATTTTTTTGATGGTTTGGTTTCGATTAGCTTAGGTTTCGGTCGTTGGCTCAGTTGGTAGCGTCGCGGACTTCGGACCCAAGGCAGCGATGTCGTGGGTTCGTATCATGGTCACTGCCGCAAACATTTTATCATTACAGTTCACCATCGTACTGTACGGGCGCATCCCTTGCTTTGCTGGATACGTTCCACGCACAGATCTGTAGTCTATGTGGACGGTCAAATGCAAGGTTAAAAGAGGCTACCAACCTCAAAAAAAGAGAGTTCCAGTATACACTTTTTGATCAGAATTTCTAGCAGGAATGATAATTTAGTATCTTTAAATTTGCAAATGTGTATGTGTACACAGTTGAAGTATTGTATTTGAACAGTTTTGAAATATAATTTTTAATTTCCAGTGGACAGTTTGTTCTGCCGATCGCTGCAATCATTAGCGCAACAAAAGCAGCCTTCGTCTAACTCCACTCCTACATCGAAGGAGCCCAATCTGATGCCGGTGCCTTCCCCTCAGCAGATTCAATACCTAAACACCTTTGAAGGCCAGGAATTGACCATCCAGAAACAACCTAATACCAGCCTCAAGGAAACTAACATTATGTCACCATCGTAAGTTGATTTATCTTTTCTGAGTGGTAATATTAATCATTTCCTCATTTTAGCAAATTTCCCTATAGGGAAGTAGCTATTACCGTAGGTCTCATGGTAAGACTTGAGCCCGGGACCGATTTACTTTTTTAAATTTTGTTTTGATGTCCCCAGAGGCAAAAAACACAATTCGTTCAAATTTTTGTATATGCATATACAGGGTGTTTTTAAAAGAATGCCGGGATTTTAAACGGTCGTTGCTCGGGGACTATTCAAGATAATTAAACGATTAAAACGTCAAATTAAAGGGAAAAGAATACAGTTTTTTTCTCATTTGTCATACAATTCGGAATGATTTAATAAGATTCAGATTTTCATCAATCTTATATGAGCGTAAAACTGGTAAAGTCTGTATGCTTAGGGTGATCGGCGGGTTTATCTGATGTCTTAACTGAACCCTTTTCAGCACAAAGACTCTTATCTTTTATAGAGAACATCATAAAGTGACCAATTTAGGTTTGTTAAACTGAAGACTTCGTCGGGCAATCGATGTTTTCGGGCTTCTGATGCAGAATTGTTGGATTTCTTCGACTATGTCATCGCTTGTTTTTAGCCGGCCAGTGTCTTTTCAAAACACTTCGTTCACGAAACTCATTAAACCAGCTTCAAGTTTCTTTATCATCAAGTAGATTTAAATTTAGTTTAATTTAGCAATGGATATAAACTTTGCGAACTACAGATTACAATCTGTGCCTTCTGTTGTGCCATAAACGTCGTACTGGCGACTGGCGTCAGGCATTTGAGTTACTATAGCGACCTATCACCCCACACCTGTTTTACGTATGCCAAGGTCAAAGTTTTCTCCCTTACTAAACGGGAAACAAAACTTAGTCATGTTAGCTTCAATTCGACGTATAAAACGTTTAGTTGCCTTGAATAGTATCCAAGCAATTACCATTTAAAATCCCGGCATTCTTTTAAAAACACCCTGTATATATGACTAGCAGAGTACCCATCCTTCGTACGGGGTTGGCATATAAGTATAAAATGCTTATTGCACTTATACTCAAGCTTTGCGTTTGCAATGGGGGAGGACACATTTTGACAAAATTTGCTTCTTTAAATTTACGGTATACTATAGTATTACACATCTACCATAGCTATAATGTTCCACCACTTCACCTACACTTAATAGAAGAAAATAAATTATTAAAAATTCTCTAAATATAAAAAATTATTAGCCTAATTAAATTCAAAACATAAACATAACTGTAAACAATCCTACTTTGACAGTTCTCATTGCATATCACAGGTTTTTGTTGCTGCTTAGTTAAAATTCACTGTTTTCATAAATGCAAAAAAGAATTATAGTGCTGCACCCTGTTGGTAAATCTTATAACTTTTAATGCTTTTGCATATCATAGAACCAATGTTTTTAGTTTAAACAGCTGACAATTTTTTTTAATTCCCTTTAAATATGAATACTCATAAGGTTGACATGGGGAACTACAGAGCCACTGGGGCGGAGCCCAAAAGGATTTTTGAGATAAGAATATGCCTATATGTTAATCGGGAATGTAAGCTATCATCATGCCAAATTTCAGCCCAATCCGTCAAGTAGTTTATGCGTGATTGAACTTCAAACAAACAAACACACAAACTTTCACATTTATAATATTAGCAAGATATATATTTGTATGTATATATATGATGGGATCGAGGTTTTATGGGGAGTTTTATGTAGGGTAAAAAATTGTTTTTCTCATTTTTATCCATCAAAACACAAAATTTCCCAATTTTTTCTCTTGACCAATTTAAAGAGTTTAAAAAAATAAATAAATTTATTGAAGTGTTTTTGTGTTGTTATTGGTTACGTAGAAAATTCAAAAAATTTTAAATTTAAAATTCCCATGTTCTTATGGAGAATATTGTAAAATGTTGTAGTTTGCTTGTTTTTTGATATATTTTGATCAATCTTGGCAAATTTATTTATTTAATACTAAGCTATTAATATTTTCTTCTAAAAACACACTTTAGCCTCCCTTCAGCAGAAAACCTAGGTACTCGACTCGTTTAACATAATGTTATTTGAATAGATTTAATTGTATATCAATTCAGGCTTGCAAATGGAAATTTTGTTTAATCTGCAGGTTTGCTGCAGCGGGGGTATTATTCTTCTGTAATAGCAACTGTTAAGATACTTCTCATTTGTACATTGTACATTTAAATGAACATTTTAATAGTACTATATAATCCAAAAACTTAATTCCTCAGTTCAACCTTTAATGGAAAAAATCCTGTTTTGTTCAAAAACAAATTGAAATTATTATTGACATTCTGTATTTGTAATTGGAAAACAAAGCTATTGGCTATTGTTAACAACTATGCTACCCTCATTAGGCCTAATCTAGGTTGGATACATACATTGGTTGCCCAACGCTCACTAAATTATTGCTTTATCTCCTGCTGAACCTTTTACTAAATGCTCTTGCCATATGAGAAGTTTAAGAAGTGTCTATACAGATTTTATAAGTCAAAAAAGGTTTTCTTCTTCATACTTTTTTAGCCAGGCATAGTTTGGATGCAAAAAGTAACATGCCTTAAGTTCAGATATGTCTTGGGATATTAACAAACTGTGGGTTTTGATGGGGTGAAGCAAATTACATAACAGTTGCCAGTAAAGTAGATAACTATAGGTCATACTCATACTAGTAATATGTGTTTTTATGGTAATAATTTGAGTTTATTGGCATGACGATTGAGTACCATACTTGGGTGCATGCCCAAGAAGGGGGTTCTTAATCGGATATTAGCCTGGCTTGGCTGGTACCCTTACATCTTATCACTTGGTGATATAAGTGATCATGATCTCATGATAATTGTAACCACCCTTATCAAATAATACCCGATCCATTGCTCAAACTTTACTTGGTCATTGAAAGTAAAATATACTAATTCTATATACACAGTGTTAATTTTCATTTTTCTTGTGTAAGAACCCCGACAACCAAACCAATTCCATGCTTCCCCGTGCTTTCCCATTTAGGTAAACCTGATATGCTCACAAGTAATCTTAATTTTGAAATAAAAATTTAAATATGAATACTTTTGAATTGAGAATGAAAATAGTTAATCCTGTCTACAGGTTGCCTCAAAAAAGTGTTGAAGGTGTGCTGGCAGGATCCAACACCGAGATGAACACTAAAGTATCTGGCAGGTCTACGCCTTTGACTCCTGTCTCCATGGAGTTGGGAGTATCGAGATACACAGGGACTCCAGGGGAGTTCACGACGAGTCCTCAGCCTGCTGGAGACAAGCCTGGGTCTAGACCCACACCCTCGGATCAGAGGTTCTGTCCTAGTCCAGGACAACTCCAAGACTCCATAGCAACCTCAAGGTTCAACATGATATCCTCTTCTCCTGTCATATCCAATAGTTTCATGCAGCAACAACAACCCAAACAAGGCCCCGGTACTGGTCCTGGCCCCGGTCCTCATTTCATGGACATTCCCTCACCGAACAAGAACTGCGGCGTGGAACCTATAAAAGATCCCGGTGGAAACTATCCCTGTATCGGGCCAGATAATATTCCTTTGAATCCAAATGGAATGACGAGGATATCTGTCGGCAACAACAATAAAGTTTCTCATTTTGATCCAATTACATCACTGGCACAAATGAGCCAACAACTCACGAACAATGTCGGTAGTTCACCTGTCAACCAATCAGGAGGAATGATTGGACCTTCGCCAGGAATGCATCCGGGTATGATGCCCTTCAATCACAGTGGTCCGGGCAATATGCATATGATGCCAATGAATGAAATGAACGTCTGCTCGGGACCTGGGCAAGAAATGGGTAACCCGGGAGTGGGCGTTAGAATCAATAACCCTCAAATGGGTACACATCCTCATTCGTTCAGTCCTGGTGCGGTAGGTAACGGAGGAGGAGTAGGGGTGGGAGTCGGACGGATGCCGTGTCCGTCTGTCTCTCCCAAACCCAACATGATGCAAGGAGGGTACAACGGACCTAGAATGGTTCCTCGACCTCCAGTACCCAATTCCTACAATGGTGCTAATATCCAAGTAAAACCTAGCGCCCCTAACACGATACAGTACCTTCCCACACGACCTCAACCCGGCTCTGCAGGGCCCCGTGGACCTCCTAGCCTCGAGTTTCTGCAGCGCTTTTCAAACCCCCTCTCCAATCTAGAAGCCAAGGTTCCGACTCATAATCTACAATATTTCCCCAACAATTTCCAGCAGAACAATTCACCCAGCGGAGATATCTTGGGTAACATGAACTGTGGAGGTATGGGCCAAGGACCTGGGAACGTGATGCGTGGGCCTCTGAGAGGAGGCTCTGGTGGTATGATGAGAGTCGGAGTCCCTAACATGGGGCCCAACATGGGTGGGTTTGGAGGAAATGAGCAGATGTTCCCCAATCCTGGAGGATCTAGCTGTCAAATGTTTGTGCCTAATTCAAAAGGATCTCCTCTAGGTATGGGTGGAATGGCTCCTGATGCCAGTCAACCTCTACCCCCCTCCATGGGCCAAGCTAACAACTTCAAAAACTCGTCATTCATCGGTCCTACTACAGCTGACCCTAACTACGCTCAACAGTTTCACAATTTCCAACAGCAACTGTACGCCACAAACACGAGAAGTCAGCTTGGCAATCAGGCGATGGGAGCGAACCAACAGTTTTTTGTTCCCAAATGAACATTAACGTAGTTTGGATTGAAACGGATAGTGTACATAGCTAGATTACTTATGACGCTTACTTGTGAGACAATTTTTGTAATGTACATTTAAAATTAAAACTAACTTTTAAAACGAGACTATATTTTTAAGGTTTTAAATCGAAAATAGATGTATTTTGCTAAGTCTTCGGGTTTAGTTGTGCGAATTACTACGTTAATAGATTGAGCTCAACGTGCAACAGTTTAACTAGAATAATAATTTTATCAATCAGACATATTTCAAAAAAGTTTTATGTAATGGCCAAATCATATTTGATCTGTTTATCATTGTGTTGTTTGAACTTTGAAGATGATTTTATTTTAATTTAATTTTAAATACATGTGTTTTATTGTTGTAATATTGTCTTTTGTGTTTAATTTATTTATGGTTTTAATCCTTGTCATAATTTACAAAGCCCTCATTGGCTCAAAACCCAAATTAGCTGTTAAGACATATCAATTGGCATTATTAACATTGCGGCAAGTTGATTTTGTCAATATTTACATGTTTTTTTTTCTATTGTCTAATTTCTGTGATAGGTAGTTTTTATTGTTGTTATCATATATGCAAAACATAATTTTACAGTTTCACATTTGTTTGTAATATTATAGAATATTTAGTCTCTTTTAAACTGTATTTAACCTTATTTAAAGAGTATAATTTAAACCTTGTTATCTAATAGTTCAATCAATTTTAACAGATTATATATTTTAATACTGTTTTATTTAATTGCTTCTCAAACAAAGTATGTCAATCCAAGATCTAAAACTTTCTACTGCATGTGAAATTACCTGATTTTGTAGGTAAATCAATAAGTTTTGTCCTGAACAACTCTTTTATAAACAAATAATACATTTTAAACTTGAAATTCAAGCACTGTTTATACATAATATATTTGTTGTATCAATTTGAAAAGCAGTCTGAATTGTTTGGCAGAATGATACTTACATAATATTTAGTACAAAAAACTTGAGGCTTTTTTTACATAATGTATTTTGTATGTATAACATCAAATTTCTGTTTACATAATTAATTTTAAGGTTAACTTTACGTTTTTAATATAGAATTTATTTTTAGGCTTATGTTATTGTTTTATAATGTGAGTTTTTTGTTTCTCACTTTTAACTCTCATAATGTAAGTTCAAATTTTAATTTGTATTTGAATTTTATTGAGATTCAATAAGTTTTGTATATAAAGCAAACTATTATTCTTTGCTGAAAATTTTTTTTAAAGATTTTAAAATAGTTGTTATTTTTAAAATAACATTTAAGAAGCTGCATGCAGCTATCCTTTAAGTCAACTTAGTTGGCGTTTTTTAATAGGTTAAAAACAAAGCTCTTCAAAATTTTTTAGCTGCCTGTAAATTAGTGAAAATGGGCCTGGCTAGATACATTTTCCAAACACTTTTACAAATACATGTAACATTTGAACAATATTTTTTCGTACATTTATATTTTTTTATTTATTTTAAAATTTATTTGTTTAATTGATTCTTATTTGAAATATATTTTAGCAGATCGTTAAAAGTGAAATGTAATTATTTTACCCCTGAATACGCAAAAATAAAGATTTTGTTGTCAAAAGTAAACAAATGATAGTTTCTATTATTGGAAATGTACTGCAGTAAGTATTGAAGAACAAAATTATGTCTTACTTTTAAGTTATTTTATCATGTACACTTTTTTATTGTTTTTTCTTTATTAGTAAATATTTTTTTTCCAGAAGTGAGTTTTTGAGCGTTATTGTAAAACCACTCATCAGAGTTCATTAATTCATATGCAAAACTAATTTCTTATAAGTAATTTTTTTTGTAATTGAAACTCACAGGGGCTTCCTGCTAAACAATGTTATGCAAATTTAACTTAGTAATGGAACATACATTACTTGTGACCTGAACTAGGAAAACATGAATTATTAAGTAAATAATAAGTGGATTTCATATCAATTATATTTATAATTGAGCAGTGTAGTATTATCTAGGTACTATAAGATTTTTTGTTTCTGACAGTTTTAACTGTACAGATTGATTCATGTGTTCATGGATACATTTTGAGGTGCTACATAATTATCAAACAATCCACAGTCCAAATATAGTTGATTCTTCACACGTTTGTTAAGAAAAAAAACTTTCTTATTAACTTATATGACACAATGATTTTTCTTCTTTAAAGTTTTTTGGTAGTGCTTGTGACTGTTTTTTTATATCGGTGCTAGAATTAAGTATATACTTGATTTTTGAATGTATTTATTTAGCTCTAATTTTTGCTCGTAAGCTGTATTATAAAACCATGAACAAAAAGATAATACACTTACTAACTTTGCAATGCACAGGTGATTCTAAAGTGACTGTCTCTACCAAACATACAAATAAACAAATTACAGAAAGTAAAGAGTGCTTAAAATGTCCGCTTAAAGACAACAATTAGTAATATTGCTTAGAATTTTCTGGGTGTTTAGGATATTTCTTCGACCACTCTTTGAGTGTTTCCCAAAAATTTGTTTAAGTTTGCGGGTTTGCTCTATTAGATAATTTCCCTTAACTTTTGATATTGTTAAACACAGTATTTATAACTTTTCTCTTTAATATTGTGTAAAAACCAAGAACACATTATGTCTTGAACTAAACACATCACTAGAAACACACTATTAACTGATTTGTATTGAAAGTGTTGCTCTAAATATTTGCAATAGTAGTTTTAGTTTCAGATTACAATTTATCTTTTTTCAAAGTGTGTGGATCACTACAAACTTGGTGTTCTGTGTCAAGCCGTGTCACAGAACTAAACTTTAAACTTAACCCTAAAGTTTTTAACCTAATTGCAGATAGGATTTGGAGCAGGTGCCAGGCATTACTATTGGCGTAGGCTCAAGAACACAGATTATATTGGTACTTTGGTAGCGTTGCATTCCTCAGCAGTGGGAAGGGGTTGTCGTCGTTGGGGGGTTGGTGACTTGAGGCAGTTGGAATGTTCTAGGCATGGTAGTGTCGTTGTCCTCCGCGTTGTGACTTCCCAGTACATTGGCATTTTAGATTTTTCATGGAGTTGTCCAGATACTACTATATTCTAGACCAGTATCTTTATTGAAGTTGTCTGTACGTTGTTTCCTGATTTCTAAAGTTAAACATTTTTACTTCGTTATAATTTGTAGATTGAGCCTAAACTTTACCTTCGTGACACTGTATCATGTGACGTTCTTCATTTGAATAAGCTGTTTTTGAAGATAAGTTGTTTTTTGTTTTTTTTTGGATCTATGTTTCATTAAATTTGTGTGCACATCTGTTGCGCTTACTTATAAGTTCAGTTCTGTGACACGATCGGACCTTGATGACCAGCGATAGTCTCAGTAACCATGGAAGCCTTAGTTCCTGTGTTAAACTGCGTCGATGTTTTAATTTACATTAATATTTTGAGTAAGTTGACTTTTTAATCACCTGTTTTTTACTAGTCTATAAAAGAAACACCGTAAAATCATAAGTTTAGGAAGTAAAACTATTTTAGTGTTATTTTGTTTTTGGTAAATTAGGCTGACTATATTTCGTTGATTGAAAATCGAAGGCAATTTTGTATAGTAGGCTATTTAAAAGATTTGAAATATATTGAGTAATTTTTATTACATAAATTACTTAGCTCAACTGTTGAAACGTGGCTGCAAAAAGTAATTTGTGGTAAAAAATGTGTTGTAGGTTTTAATGTTTTTTTATGAACCCCCTTTGAAATCTTAAAATAAATCCATACAAATTGCTATAAGAGGGTCTAAGGCTGAGGAGGATATAAGTGTAGAACAACCCCAGTAGGCTCATCATCCCCTGAAATAGCACAGGAAGCCCCTATCCCAAAACTTAAGTTGTAAAGCAATATTCTCCATGTTTTTTTATCTTTATAAAAATGAATTGATACAATTGTCCTACCTGTGTAATTATCTAATTATAAGAAAATGGAAAGTTATTTGTTTTCTAATCTTAAATCATGTACATGTTTTGCATGCTAACTGTCTTTTACTGGGCACAATCGATCCAAACTTACTTCTAAAAGTGTATCCTTTTTTACATACAATTTGTATAGCGTATATGCACAAACAAATTTATTCACTTGATTCCCATTTTAATAACTAAGCAAAGAAGTGATTTCTTTATCTTATAGCCTTAGCGTAAACAGTAAGTCACCATCATTTTAATCTAAAAAACTTACATTGACATATTTAGCTTTTGACATTGAAAGGTTTAAAATAACTCTATGATTTCTTCTACAAAAATATTTTTTACATGTTCTGCGATTTAAATGGTCAATGAAAACATTTTTGTTTTAATTCCTTCCTTATTACTCTTAATGCTATTTTTTATCACTATAGTATTCTTGTATTCTGGATGTTCTTTTGTAATTTCTTTTAAGGGTTTGTGGTTGTAATTTGAAACTAATTGTGCAATTTGTGCCTTATATTTGAATAACAAGGTCTTGACTTTCTTGAATTTTGTGAAAATGTTTAGTGTACTCATTTGCAGAGCTCTTGTACTACAAATAGGTTTAACAAAAGTTTAGCAATAAATCATGAATCATTTATACACAGTATTTGGATATTTTACAATGTATGTTCTTTGTTTGCTAAAGATAATAAGTTTTAAAATTTTCCGTCACATACAGTGACAGTGTAATTTTTGTGATCACTGAAGAGCAAAAGTTGAAAATAGCTAAAATAGAATAGAGGATAAGTTAAAGTAACGATCAGTAGTTTATAAACTAAGGTGTTGATCTCATTTATGATTTTGCTATGGAATGTTACATATTTAACCCTTTTTGAGACACAACTGTAGAGGTAAAATTGTAAAAAAAATGCTAACGTATTCTCCAAGAGTGAAAAGTTTCTTATAGGCCTCATTGCTTCAAAAATCTAAAAGTGACGTTCTTTTTCAATTATTTAAAATGTTGAGAGATAGCTGTTCTAAAGTCTTATTGGGTTGTAGTTTTGTTTCTTTGATCAAAAGTAGTTGGATTGTGTCCTTGTTGCATAGCTGTTGATATGAAGTTGTGTATGCATTATTACTCAGCATAATAAAAAAGTCCCAAAAAGCGGAGTGACAACATTGAACTAGTGCCAGAGCTTGTTTTAATCATGCGTGGCCACTAAAAATCAACTCTTAGCTAAAATCGTAAATTATTCATTGTTCAATCAAAACATTGGACAATTTCACAAATCCAATTATAAACAGAACTACTTTGCAATATCAAGAAGAAATCAACAGCTGTGGTTTGATAATCAACAGCACATCAGATTGGACTGGCACAGTGGTTAACACTCGTAAAAGGTGGCTTGCCGCTGTTCATCCACTGCAAAAGATCTAAAAACCTTTATACATTAAACTTTGACTTCATATTATTTTCATATCATTTTCACATTATTTGAGGTAAAATAATTAAAATTTAATTAAACGTAAAAGTTTTCAATCATCAATTACTATGACTGTAGAACAAAATTATGTGCTCCAATTATTGTATTAGGTTTTTGCTCACTGCTCAGTGGGAAACTTAGACAACCATGTTACACCCTATTAGGTAAATGAATCTATTTTGAAATTGGATGACATACATTTCCAAATACCATCACTCATTTGATAATCAATTTGAGAATTACAGATTATCTTGTAAAGAATTTTCAGTTGTACGAAAAGAAGCACTCTGGCTGGTCCACATTACTAGACATTCCTCATTACAACAAATTTGTATAATTCAGGGGCGTTTTAACCAAATTCAATATTAATATTAATCGTTTGTAAACATAATTCAGCCTAAGTAAGTCCTAATATGGCATTTTTGTAAGATCAAATTGAGTATGTATTGTGGGTCTAAGTTTTTTTTCTACAGCTCCGGTTTCCTTATATTTTTGACAAATCTATAAATAGTTAATTGGTACTAGATTCACAACTGAAAACTTGATTTCAAACCATTCTTGGCATAAAACCTGTGATTTACTTTTAAAGTATTCTTCTAAAATGCATACTCATTGAGGCTGCGTAAACACCATGTTGATTCTTATTTATAATAAGTTTCCAACAACATAAAACCTCATAGATAACTATGTAACAATGCATATCAGCTAATCAACAATGAAGT